TATTAATTATTAAAATTATTAAGAAAAGTATAAATTAATTAAGCACGTGACCTAAACCTTAAATTGAATTATTGATATCAATACACTTCACTCATTTGGGCAGATAAGGCAACTAACAGGCAAGTCCCTTTCAATAAAAGCAACTAACAAGTCAATTTTTGCACCTTTCTTCGAATCAAGATATATATACACACATAAAAAAATCACTCCACACGAAAAATTAATTTTTCGACTCGAATTCATTTCGAGTTTTAATTTCGTAAACTCGACTCGACTTGTAAAATTTTCAAGTTCAAATCGAGTTATAAAATATAATTCGAATAACTTGAAATTTTTAATAGTTAGTGGATTAATTTTTAGGTTTGAGTCGAGTACCTCGAATTTGTATGATATATGTATCACATATAAAAAATATAAAAAATATATATGTATTGTATATGGTTATAAAAAATCATTTAAATTGGAATAAAATGATATCATAATATTATAAATATTTACAATTAAATTTAAATAGAAACTTAAAATAGACTCGACTAAAAAAAAATTCAAGTAAACTTCGAGTTGTAAAATATGACATAATAAAGATAATTCGTAAAATTAACGAGTCGTCCTTTTTTTTTATATTTTTGTCCAGCAATTAATGAGTCATCTTAAGAAGGAGAAATGACTAGTCATGGAGGAAAACTACAAAGAAAGAAAGGCGTTCGAACGTTAACAATACACCAGCCCTATCAACCAGCCATGGATTTAAGCGAAGCATACTGACGTTAGTATTGATGTTGTGAATGGGACACTGCACGTTGTAAATTAATCCAATCATGTCAATTAGACTTATCGACTGCACGCACATACAACATGTTTAAATTAGAAACAACGAGGAAATAACAAATATATATATATATATACATATACATATTAAAATAATTATAAAATTCTTTTAAATGTAACATCAATTTTCTTTCCACCTCGTCATTCTCGAGTTGATCATAGTTTAAAATAGATTTTTAAAGAAAACATACATTGATCATCGTATAATAATATCATATTCGAATATTAAGACAATCGAAGAATATATTCACAATGAAGGTCTCGTAAGAGTATTTTCGGATTCGGAGTTTTAGATCTTTCGACCCAAAAATCAATCGATTAGCTTGAAATGAACTTGATGGCGATCTGTCTCGAGCAAAAAGAAGTGGTGGGGAATTGAGCTGGCGAGATTTGTATGTTTATTCGACAAGTTGCATGCAATTTGATGATTTAATATGTCCACTTTTCATCTGCCTGTTTGTCGTACTGATCAAAATCAAACTTCACAAATCTGCTGTGTTTCATTCATTAGGGTCGGCCAATCAGTTTTTTTTTCTGGTGAGAGTTTGACCAGCAGCCTGTGACCAGGGTCGTGGTAGGATTTTTGGGATCTTGTATAAATTCTTAAAAATGTGTCCTATATTCTAGATATATTCGATTTCGAGATAATAATAGTAGCGTTTTCTTGACAAACGCCGCGATAGATCCATCTATAATGACGTTTATCAATAAAGCCGCAATAATAGTGACGTTTTTTTTGAAAAAACGTCGCAATAAGTCCATCTATAGTGGCGTTTATTGGAAAAACGCTACTATATATGTATACTTTTTTAGGGCCCCATTTTTTGGGCCCTGCGCGGTCGCGCAGTTTGCGCCGCCCCAGCCACGACCCTGCCTGTGACTCTCTTGCAGCATTATTTGTACAGTAGAGTATAATTTATTTTCAATTGGAGCGGGAATAGATATAAGTTTAGTGGGTAATGAAAAAAAATCGTCTTGAATATTTTCAGGACCCTGAAAATAGGTCATATATAATGAAAATGTATTTTATTATTTTAAACAATTAATTTAATATTATATTAATATATCATAAAAAATGTTTAAACCATGAGCCATCGATTATAAAAGTAGAAAGTATGAACTATTTTATAAAATTTAAAAATTAGGGGCCCCTAGTTATAAACCTCGATAAAAAACTAAAAAAAAGTCCCTATAGAACGAAAAATATATTATATTATTTTGAAAAAAATAATTTAATATTACATTAATGAACCATAGAAGATGATTAAATTATGGGCTCTTAGTTATAAAAGTAGAAAGTAGGGACTATTTTATAAAATTGAAAAATAGTTAGGAATCCTTAATTATAAATCTTTAGCGAAAACTCAAAAATAGCCTTATAGAATGAAAATAGACTATATTATTTTGAACAATTAATTTAATATTACATTAACAAATCATAGAAAAAATATTAAATTATGGTTCCTCAATTATAAAAATAAAAAATAATAAATATTTTATAAAATTAAACTTTTTCCATGATTTGTTTAATTTAATAAAAAATAAAGTTTTAATTTTATAAAATAGTCCTTATTTTTTATTTTTATAATAAAATTAATAAATAAAGTTTTTAATTTTATAAAATAGTCCTTATTTTTTTATTATTATAAAATTAGAAAGTGAGGGCCTTGAGAAGTTGCTCAGGTGCTCCTCTTAAAGCCGGCTCTGGTAATGGACATATATGGATGTAAAAAATCATACCCGTCATGGGTAGTGGGTAGATGATGAGTTTAAGATTTTACCCGCCCCTCATCCACCTGTACCACATTCGCCTACCCACTAACTACCAAACATATAAGTTTTAGACCATTATGAATTTAGGTATAATTTTAGAGATTATTCTGTAAATCTTAAGATTTTTGTAGGAAGTGACTTATAATTTAACCAAATGTTAAGGACATGTTTGCCTTATATTTTGTTGCTTATGTAACGGGCGTATTTATTTTATGTTTTGTTACTTATGTAATCTTTGAGGTTATTGCCAGATGAGTATGAACCAGTAAATATAGACACAAGATGAATGATGGGTATCTAGTTGGGTAGTGGATGTGATGTAGATTTGAAAATGTGTTCACATGAGCGGGTACGAGTTTAAAAATTTTATCCATTGTAGGTGATGGATAAACGTGGTGGATACAAAAATATTAAGTTAGTGTAAAGATAAAAATAAGTATCTGCACCCGTCTAACCCGTTTACTATCTATATTGCATGCATGCATGTCGTTCATGTCATAAACTGATCTGCGGGCAACATCCATATCACAAAAGTTCTACTCGAGAGCCTTCGCTTCCATAACTGATCTTCTTTTCATTTCATCGGAAGAATCATGTTCCTAGCACGTAGTTTCTAGCACGTATAGTGTCGGGACTACTGGAATAGGGTTGTCTTTGGTTATGCAACGATCAAAGATGGACGTAAAATTTTATGTTAGGGAAACAAATTTAATTTTATAAAATTTTAAATAATAAAAATAAATTTTAAATAAAAAACATTAAAAAATAAAAATATATAATAATTTTAAATTTTAAAGAGAACAATTACCTTGACCCGTCCCGTCAATCCATCTATGATTACTTTACGTATGGGAATTGCTTAAATAGACAAGAAAATGACTCTTCATAGATCAACCATAGGCGGTGCTTTATGTATCTAATTATGGTTATTGTCTACTTGTCGATTCAAGTGTTTTTTTCACTTGTACACAACGTAAATGAGATGCTTAAAAGGTTAAATTATATGATTAGTCTTTATTTTGTTCAAGTTATTGATTTAGTGTATATAATTTAAAGGTTAAGTACACAAATGGTCCCTCGACTATAGAATATTATTTTATTAAGTCTCACGACTATTAAAAGTAATAAAAAAATCCTTCGACTATAGAGTGTTGCTTTGTTAAGTCCCTTGACTAATAAAATGGTCACCCGAGTAGTCATTATGTTCTAAACACATCATTTTCTATTAAAAATTTGACGATATTTTGAGTTGAACGTTAACTTACTGACTGTGATATGATATTAATCACAGAATCTCAAACGACTAGTATATTGCAATCATCATGTTAACATTCAACTAAGACAACCTTCAATTTTTTAACAAAAAAGACGAGTTTGGAACATAATGAATAGTTGGGTGACCATTTTGCAACTTTTAATAGTCGAGAGACTTAATAAAACAACATTCTATAGTTGGAGGAATATTTTATAACTTTTAATAGTCGATGGACTTAATAAAACAGTACCCTATAGTCAAAAGACCATTTATGTACTTTATCCATAATTTAATTTAGGTACAATGTCAAAACTAATGTTAATGTTTGATGAAATAATTATTTTATTTTTTATTTTATTTTTTAAATATTTTAACTCTAACATTTTATTTTTGAACAAAGTGTTTATTGATTGATTGAAAATCTAGTTGACTAATGATCAATGTTTATTACAAGTCTTACGCGTCCAAAATGATGACATTATATGTATCATATCATCACTTATCTAAATGTGATATGCATTGTATCATCACCGATTACACGTGATATGTACCACATCATCACTGATGTACACATGATATGTAATACGTTATCACTAATGTACATATAACATGTACCATGTCATCATTTTGGGCACATAACTTATCACATCAATAACAAATTTTGATCATTATTAATCGTTTTCATCTAACTAGGAATAATTTTACCTCAAAATAAAACATTTTAGGTTAAAACGCTGCAAAAAAATCAAAATAATTATTTTATCAAATATTAAGATTTTTTTTTGACAATATACCTTTGATTTAATTTTTTTGAGATTTAAAATTGGTTAAAATACTTGTTATTCTCCTAAATGTCTCAAATTAAAGCACGTCCATAAGTACATATGAGCGTTCATTGTCAATTAGTTGAGAATATTTGACCAAATTTATAAAAAGTTGATATTATTTAATTCTTTTTATTAGTATAGAGATTAAACTAATCTATTTAATGATGGAAGGACTAATTCAAATCAGTTCCCATAACATAGGGACTATTTTGATTAAATATATATAATAAAGGGACCTACGAAGTACTTTCACCAAGTTAACTTGAGCTTATTGTGGGGAATTAATTCTCTGATTTGGGCCAAAAAATTATACACTTGAGTGTCGTCTGGGGAATTCACTATTCAGATAAGGCAATCAAAACATCCATGGCTGCCAGTCTCTCCACTGCTCTCGATGTTCATTTCGCCGTCCCTCAATCCGATTCAAGAAGGCCCATTTTCTTCACCAAAAGAGTGAATCATCAAAACCCTAGAGAAAGATTCCTCGTTTCTTGTAAATCTTCTTCAAAACCACCCAAACCACCGCAATCGCCGCCCAGAAAAAACCAATCTTTATCCGAGCAGCTCCACCCTCTCTCCACAACAACACTTCCCAAAAAAGACCATAATTTTCCCTCCTCAAACCCGAAGTCCACATGGGTCAATCCCTCCAAGCCGAAGAGATCCGTGCTTTCACCACAAAGGCAAAAGCGTTCTCCTCATGCATCCAATCCCCAGCTCAGAGAGCTAAAGCTCCTCGCAAAGAAGCTAAACGAGTGCGAAAACAGTGAAGAAGCTTTCCTAAGTGTTCTCGAGGAAATCCCACATCGACCCACCAGAGAAAATTCACTTTTGATACTCAACAGCTTGAAGCCATGGCAGAAGGCTCACCTTTTCTTCAATTGGATAAAGACCAAGAATTTGTTTCCCATGGAAACTATATTCTACAATGTCGTAATGAAGTCTTTGAGGCTCGGGGGACAGATTGAGCTCATAGAGGAACTCGCTAATGAAATGGTAAGCAATGAGATCCCACTCGACAACATTACTTATTCGACTATTATTAGCTCTGCAAGACGATGTTATCGGTTCGATAAGGCTGTAGATTGGTTCGAGAGAATGTATAGAACTGGTTTGATGCCTGATGAAGTCACTTACTCTGCGATTTTAGATGTTTATGCCAAATTGGGTAAGGCTGAAGAAGTGGTTAGCTTGTACGAGAGAGGTGTGGCTAGTGGTTGGAAACCGGACATGGTTACATTCTCTGTGTTGGCAAAGATGTTTGGTGCTGCTGGTGACTATGAAGGGATTAAGTATGTCTTGCAAGAAATGAAGTCGGTTGGGGTTCGGCCGAATTTGGTTGTTTACAATACTTTGATAGAGGCAATGGGGAGGGTAGGGAAACCCGCGTTTGCGAGAAGCATTTTCGAGGATCTCGTCGCATCCGGTTTGACTCCAAACGAGAAGACTTTAACTGCACTTGCCAAGATATATGGCAAGGCAAGGTGGGAAATAGATGCATTGAAATTGTGGGAAGAAATGAAGTGGAAAAACTGGCCTGTGGATTTTATTTTGTATAATACTTTGTTAACTATGTTTGCAGACATTGGTTTAGTCGAGGAAGCGGAGCAGCTTTTCGAGGATATGAAGCGATCAGAGGAGTTTAGACCAGATAGTTGGAGCTACACTGCAATGCTAAATATATACGGAAGTGGAGGAAATGTTGATAAGGCAATGGAGTTGTTCGAAGAGATGTCGTCGGAGGTGGATGTGGAGCTTAATGTAATGGGATGCACTTGTTTGATTCAATGCTTGGGGAAGGCTGGAAGAATAGATGAGTTGGTGAGGGTATTTACCGTGTCTATTGAACAAGGAATTAAACCGGATGACAGACTCTGTGGTTGCCTGTTATCCGTCGTGTCACTTTGCAATAACAGGGAGGATATGGGGAGGGTTCTCACATGCTTGCAGCGAGCCAATCCTCGGTTAGTCACATTTGTGAACTTGATCGAAGATGAGAGAAGCACTCTCGACACTGTCAAAGAAGAGTTCAAGTCTATCCTCAGTGACACCAAAGACGATGCAAGAAGACCGATATGTAATTGCTTGATCGATATATGTCGAAGTAAGAATCTCCATGAGAGAGCACACGATCTGCTTTATCTAGGAACTCTATATGGGCTGTACCCCCGCTTACATAATAAAACTGCGTATGAGTGGAGTCTGAATGTCCGAACGCTGTCTGTTGGAGCAGCGTTGACTGCACTGGAAGAGTGGATGGGGACTTTAGCCAAAATCATTAAGCGTGGAGAAGCATTGCCGGAGCTGTTCTCGGCTCAAACCGGTACCGGAACTCATAAATTCGCCCAAGGACTGTCCAATTCCTTTGCTTCTCATTTGAAGCAACTCGGAGCACCATTCAAGCAAAGTGAAGACAGAGCTGGTTGCTTTGTGGCAAAGAGGGAGGATTTAGTGTTGTGGTTGCAATCAAAGATTCCATCATCAGCTGTTACAACTTAGATGGTTTATCCAGCTATGATTGTGTTATGGAACTGAGATGAAACTATAAAATTTTGTGTAAGAAACAAGATTAAATTTTTATTTTTTAGGGGTTACAAACTTGATTTTTCTATTAAATTAAAGACAAATAGGACCAATAATGAATTATTAACTTTTGAGAGGGACTAAAAAGGAATTTGCTCATTTAGCCAAGACGATCGAGGCTGTCAAATTATGACAGAAACAGTGCAGGAGTCCAAAATTTTGAAAAAACCCAATAGGACCTCATTATTATTATTTTTTTTCAGTGTGGTCTTCCAACTCAAAAATAAACCTAATATTTTTTTCGTTAATCGTTACGGTGCTAACGTAATAATTCACGGTACTGACCTGACGATCCAAGGTGACAGATTAACGTGACGGATGACATGACAAATGAACTAAATTGATAAATCTAATATGCAGATAGATTGTCACGTCAACACCGTGGACTGTCGTGTCAGCACTATAAACTAATACACCAATACTGGAATGTTCAATGAATAATACGAAATCCACATTAATTTTTTTCAAAAATACAAAACCTCTTTTATTCCTTTTGTCAATTAAAAAGTAAAAACAGCATCATATTGGAGTAAATAGTTTATTTCATTTAGGAGCAAGTTCTCTATTCATGTTACTTCTCCAGACATTACTCAACTTGGTACAGTTGGTTTAATTCTACTTGCAGTCCCTGTACTCTTTGGTTTTTTGAAATATAATATTTAATATTCAAAGCTTATTTAAAAAGTAAAGTCTAAATTTACAATGATACCGACTGAGTTTTAATTAATTTAACAGAGAAACAGAGGGATTAAATTTCAAAAGTTTGAAGAGTAAATGGAGTAAGCGCATAATTAGACCATTTTGCTTTTACTGTGATATTCATACAATCATACCAGTTCATGAATGTAGATTTGCAGGACCATCTAGGAGAAGTAGTGTTTGTAGAGCTGCCAGAACCTGGTGGTTCAGTTAGCAAAGGAAAAGGCTTTGGAGCTGTTGAAAGTGTTAAAAGCAACCAGTGATGTCAACTCATCGATTTCCATCGAAATCGTCGAGGTCAACACTAAGCTGAGTGAAGCTCCTGGCCTGGTAAAAAAAACATTATTTTCTCCTTGTTTTCCCTTTTCTGTGCAACCAACAGATAACTATTTTTTTTATAAAAAAATCTTGGCTGATGAAGATCAATTCAAGCCCGTTTGAAGAAGGATGGATGATAAAGGTGAAACCCAGCAGTCCATCAGAATTGGAATCCTCGGTGGGTTCCAAGGAATACACCAAATTCTGCGAAGAAGAAGATGCTTCCCACTGAAACTTTTTATCATAATTTCGATTCTGTTCTACGTTATTTGATCATTATTACAGTTCTACGAATTTCGTTTAACTCGTTCGATTGTCTTGTTACCTCTCGGTGTCACTGAAATTGTCACCATTTTCGACTTCCTTTACCCGGAAAAGGAAATTTACATAGTGATAGAAGTTGTAAAACTGAAAACATGCCTATCATTTAGCAACTTCTGTGACAAGCAAGGAAAGAGTCTTTGCCAACTGTTTAGTAACTTCTTTGACAAGAAAAAGAAGTCCTTACTCTTACATTTATAGATTCATGGTTTCGATTTTTCGAACTTGGATGTGATGGGTGGATTCGCGGCGCCAGATTGGCCGTGCTCCACTTTGGACAAGAGTAACAGATTCCCCCTCCGTCACCAAGTTCTCGTCCTACAAGCATCGGAAATTCGTATGAGAAAATTATTCAAGCATATCAAGTACTGCAATTCGGTCTCTCTGTGAAGGGCACGGAACTCTTAAAATTGAACCGAAACACTGGACTTCCACATCTATAACATGGTATATTTCTTAGTCCGTTCCGAGGAAGCGCCAGCTCATGGCAAGCATGCATCTTTTTTTCTATAAGCCCTGCAAATTGGCTACTCGAATGTAGAACTAAAGAAACTAGATTGGGTACTTACCACTAACACTTGAGTGCTCGAGAAAAAGTTTCCTCTGCATCATCCGAAAACTCCAGATATATCGGTATCACACCTTGATACAGTGCCAGTCTCTGCTTAATTCTTTCCCTGCCAAGAACAATAATTACGGTGCAAAAGTGAGAACCGGGAACGGAAACAAGTTATAATTTGGAATATCTAAAAATGTCTCAGTTAAACTATCACTAATTGCTAATACTTGCAGTTAATCTGTAAGGTGATTGTTGGGAAAACTTTCATAAGGCAGTTTACCGAAATCGTAGCACCGGCACCAAGACGTAGTGAAGCCAAGCTGCAAACATATGTCAAAAACCACATCCAAAGAATGCGAAAATAATAGTTTACTTAGTGCAACTATTAACACTTACTCATCCGTGAAGGCAAAGATCGGAGAGGAAGGACGATAATGACTCAATAGTATAGCCATGGATCCAGTCCTTGTAAAAACCAAGACTGGCGTATCAAGAGTGTTAGCCACGGTTGTTGACTGGAAAGCAAACATTTCACCCATATGACTCTGCAAAAGAACGCTCGAACATGGTCGGATTAGGAAAAGTTCTTTTGACATAAGTCAACATCAACACGTTGAATGGTATATGGCAAATCCGGAAAACCGATTACCTTGTAAGCATTAAATCGAACCGGAGGCATGCAACTGACTGGAAGATCTAACTCTGTCCTCAATGCCACAGTGTGCATAACTTTTACAGCTTTAATAGGATACCTTAGGCAAAAACAAAATTATGTCACAAGGCAAATGCTAGATTAAGTTATCTAAAACGAACAGGCATCCACGATTCTAGCGGAAAGCAGGTATCACTAAATTCACTCATACGATATCATGCTTATTCTACCTAAGGGAAATATGAATAGTGTCTCGTTAATTTAACGGGAGATTTTAGCCAACTCACTTTCCATGTGCAGTTTCTCCAGAAAGCATAACTGCATCAGCACCTTCTCGAACAGCAATTGCGATGTCAGAAACTTCGGCTCTTGTTGGTGTAGGATGATTAATCATACTTTCAAGCATGTTTGTTGCCACAATTACCGGTTTATGCATACCACGACACCTTCTGATGATGTCTTCCTGTTAGAATGACAACAAGACAAGTTGGCATACTTGGAGACAGATCTTCCGTAAATCTCTCAATTACACCGTAAAGTATACGACGTTAAAAGGAGACACGCATCAAGAATTAAAAGTTACCTGCAATAGAGGGACCTCCTCAATTGGAAGTTCAGCACCAAGGTCTCCTCGAGCAACCATTGCCTATAATAAAAGTCCATGACAGCAGTTAAGTTTCAGTTCAGACACAAAAATCTCACTCTACATGTCCTCCAAAACCTTTTCGAGATTATAAAAACATTGTTATCGAAACAAACCCCATCTGAAGCGGAAATTATCGAGTGAAGTTTCGGTATAGAATCAGCACTTTCGATTTTCACAATCACATGAATGTCTGCGTTGCAACCTGCAAAAGAATTAAGTAACAAAACAGTCACAAGTGTGGAAACCGTATATTAATATTATACACACCCTTCATGGTTAAACTAGAATTATTTTACCTTTAAGATAATCTTTCAACTCATGGACTACTTTAGCATCCTTCACGAAAGAAACGGCATAAAAGTCGACTTGGTTGTCCACCCCGAATTTGATATCTTCCCAATCTTTGTCTGTAATGATGCATACGATCAAAAATTGAAAAAAGGACCGTGTTTAAGGAAGAAAATCATCAAAACAGCTGTGTGAATAACCTGTCATTGACGGCAGGGTGGCACTTTTCCCACGCACGTTCAAATGGCGCCTTGATTTTAGTTCTCCGCCGTCAACTACGACACACGTAACCAAATCCATTGTCTTTGATTTCACCGATAACGACATCATTCCACCTGACATATAGAGACATGAATCAACGCATTAAGTTGAGTACGCAGGTAAGAACTCGACAAAAATGTGCTTTTGATTAGCGGATCCACTCATTCCGACATAAAAAATAGAAACATATCACAATAACGAATTTAAGGGTATAACCGAATTGTCGTATTCTTCATTTTAGAGATTGAATACATTAAATGCAGGATAAGAAAACAGGATCCAAGGAGAAATAACATAACAAAACAATAGATTGCATCTCAGATTCTAACAATTCAGTCAACTTATTCAACCAGTTTCAATTATAGCATCATGCAAGACAGAACTCAGCTTGAGCTTACAAATACATCAGCATGAAATCTGTTCTTACCATCTACCAATAGTATGTCTCCAACTTCCACATCGTTCACAAAGTTGTCGTAGTTTACGCTGACGGTGTTCTCCGTACTGACTCCTCTTTCGACGGTGAAATTGAATTCTTGGCCCTCTTTAAGCTGGATCGGCCGAGGGACATCACCGCTTCGAACCTCGGGACCCTACATAAAGAAGAAAATCAGCCATACCACAACTAATAACCAGTCAACTCTTGCATTCGACATTAGCATATGTTGTCTGAAAATGGATATACCTTGGTGTCCAGCATGATGGCAATGACTTTGTCTTCAAACTGAGCATTGTATTCCTTAACAAGATCAATGATTTTCTGATGAGAAGCATGGTCTCCATGGGACATGTTCAATCGAGCCACATTCATTCCAGCCTCGGCCAGTTTCCATATCATCTCAGGCGAGCTCGTCGAGGGTCCGATGGTACAGACAATTTTGGTTCTCCTCCGAGGAATCGAGTTCGTCTTCACTTGTCCTAAAGCCTCGCTGTCTAACACCTCGACCGTCGGTTTCACCTTGTACTGAAAATCAAAAACAACAACCACAAATTAATTAATTAATTAAAAGGAATTAAAAAATGGGTTTAAAAAGAAAAACGAGACTGACGGCTTTCGGGTGGCCGTTGGTGGAGGTAACAACGCCGGCTTGGGTGTTTGGCATGGATGAAACAACTCCTTTAGGGAAAAAGAGACGCCTTTTATTACTCCGATTTGTTCCGGATTCAAACAGGTAGTGGCGGTCCGTTAGGCTACGGAAAGACGACAAATCGGAAGCGGAGGTGGCGCCGGCGGAAGCTTCGGTTAAGAGAGTAGCAATAGACGCCATTTGGAAGTGGAAAATCACCTGAACAGAAAACAGAAAACAGAAACAGAGAAAAAGGAAGATCTTTTTAAAGAGACGACAGAGATGGGTGAGTATAAAGACAGCTGAGGGCTTGAAAAGAGTTACAGGGCAGTCGTTGTCGGAGTGTCGCCGTCAGGGTTTGCTGGTCCACTTCCGATGATGGGTATCAGTGGAAGTGAAGCTGTAGGGTACAATTTATGCAAACTCAGAGCAGTTAAAGCGAATTTCCAGTCGCAGGGCGTCATGCAAAATGTCCCACTTTGGTAACACTTGGCAATTCGGGGGATTTTCTGTATTATTATTACTATTATATTCACATTGCCAAAGCACGTGAGTTTGTTGTAAAGACATGTTCGGGAGGGCAAAAAAACAAAACCAAAAAGTAAATCGAAGGACTTCTGATGCAATAAAAAATAAATAAATATATTTTTATTTCCATTTTCTTTATTTGTGTCAAGCATAATGTTTAGATAAGATTGAATTTATGATATTAAGATATAGCACGTTTGACTAAATTTAATTAGATTTAAAACATAAATATTAGATTTTTGAGGATTTATCTATATATCTAAATAATCAGTTTAATTTCATTTAAAAAATAAATAATAAAATTTATCGAGTGATTTCTATAGTAAAATGAATATTATTTTCGTTAAAAATTCTAAATTCTACCTTTGATCCATCAATAAGACGCCTTGGCATGCTTCCAATATATGTTATCTTATGTCCTCGTATATCATCCTCATCCATGACACCACCGAGGGATATACGTATAAATTTGCTTGAAGCTTCCATAAATGTCGAATGCTATCAACAAATATTAGGTTTGACTAAATTTATGATATTAACGTAAATTAGGTTTGACTTAATTTAATTAGATTTAAAATATAAAATTTATTTATATATGTAAATAACCAGTTTAACTTCGTTTAAAAAGAACACTAAAATCTATTGAAGATAAAAGAAAATATTATTTTTTAAAGATTCGTGTTCAAACAACTACATTTATAGAGCATGTACGTAGAGAGTTACTTTGATATTCCAGTGGATCATGTGCAATATCAGATATTCAGTTCATCTTGAGAACTTATAACTGTTTATTGTCAATTGATTTGGTGATTACTAATTCATCATTTCTCCTTTTGTACCGTTTACCGTAGTTTGTGATTCTCGACTACCATTCCAGCAAGAAAATTTGTGTCGATAACTTCATGGTGGACAATATGATCAACACTTCCGTCAAGGTTGAGCAACGAAATCGAAAAATAGAAAAATCGATTCGAATCGTAGTATGTGATTTATTTCGGTTTTTTAATTTATGGTTCGATTTAGAGTTGGTTTAAAAAATAAATATGTAATTTGGTTTGGTTTGATTTGAGTTTTTTGTATGGAAACCATTTGAATCAAATTAAACCGAACTAAAATAAATATATATTCAAAACAAATTTATTTTAAATTTATTATAAGACAAATTTTTATAAATAAAATTTTAGAACTAATAATATTTTTTGTAAATTTGCACTTGTTTAATCTTTATTTTTTTAGGTAGAGTTTAAAAAATAGTGAACAGTTAAAAACCACTAAATCGAACCGAGTCATACCGAAAACCACAATTTTTATGCCACTCAATTTCAGTTTCGGTTTCCATTTTTAAAAACTCGAAAAGTGTGTTTCGGTTCAAATTTTAGCGAAAAAAACCCAAACCGAATACACACTTACTGCCTGTGTGCGAAAGCAATTCGAAGATGGAAAACATAAAGAATGTGCTTAATCACAAATACATAGATTAATTCTGTTTATCGTGATTTCGCCTTGTTGCCAGTTTATCATTACGAACTAGTTTTACACAGCAATTAGACGGAACCGGGCATCTTGCCGGGGAAGTACAACCTGATGTTGAGAGCGAAAGAAAAGTGCGTTCGACAATCAGCAATTTTCCAAAGCCGGGGAGCTTGAAAACGCACCTATATAGGAAGTCCAGTTTGCAGAGGGTTTTAAATTCTCTTCGCCTGACCATAACAGCTAACCTCATTTACATCATTACATGTTCCTAGGAGTGTAAACGAGCCGAGTCGAGCTCGAGTATTGCTGAACTCGACTCGAAAACTCACGAGCTTAAAATTTTTAAACTCGACTCGAACTCGAAATCCTGAACTGAAGCTCGTGAACAGCTCGAAAAGGCTCGAAATGAAAAAAAAAATCTTAAACTTAACTCGATTGAAGCCTCAAACTCGAACATGAATCTTAAATACATGAAATCTTACTGTTTTTTTTTTAAATCAATACATAAATATTAATATTATTATTAATTTATTTTTTAAAATAAAATCTTAATATATTATATTTTCGAGCTGCTCACGAACTTTTCGAGTCGAATATCGAGTAGCTCGTTTCAGCTTGTTAAGAACTCGAGTCGAGTCCATTCGATCCGAGTATTTATCGAGTCTTGATCGAGTCGATCTCGAATAGCTCGCGATCCCTACATGTTCCTATAGGCAACTTGTTAAGATTAGACAAAGCCAAATAAACCGGTCACCCGTCACTAGAGAGAGTTTAGATGTGCCTGTTGAGTTATGATGGCTTTGTGACCTTTGTCATAAGTTTGAGTGCTGTCTCCAAGGACATCCCCCATCAAATGCATGCTCCAACACGTCCTCCATTCGCTTCGCCACCAAAATCTGGCAATGTAATATGTTGTACATGGTGAGCAAAAAGGGACATTCCGATTCGGTTTTACACTTGAATCTCGATCATCATAATTATGTGACTTTGAGAGGCAAAATCTTATCAAAATTACCTCTAGAGTGGAAAGCACAGTTGCAGGTACTTCAACCAAGTCCTTGAGATTTCTCTCCGGCAGAATAATTCTCTTGATACCGTATCGGTGTGCTGCTAGAACCTACATATTTCACATATAAAAACAAGATGTATTGGACACGAGAAGAAAACGCATTTCGAGACTATATGTTTGTTTTTTAATATTATCCGACGTAAAAATGAGAGACAACGATACACACCTTATCCTTGATACCACCAACAGGTAACACAAGACCCCTCAGCGTCATTTCTCCGGTCATTGCTGTATCTGCTCTTACACTTCTCTCACTAAACAGTGAAACTAACGCAGTTACGAGAGTCACTCCAGCCGAAGGCCCATCTTTCGGCACAGCCCCAGCAGGAAAATGTATATGAATATCTCTGCCCTGAAGCAGATTGGTTTCCACGGCAGCTGCCAACTTAAGATCTGCCGCCCTCGTTCTTACCTGAAAAATAGAGAACTCTTTCAAATGAAAACCGCACAAAGGAACAATACACCCATATTTGCAGCAATTGAGTTTTACACAACATAAACATAGAAAATATATGTGATTTAAGAAAGGATACCCATGTTAGTGCTATTTGTGCCGATTCTTTAATAACATCACCAAGTTGTCCGGTAAGATGCAGTTCACCATTTCCAGCCAGTGATGTAGCCTCCACAAACTGAACCTCTCCTCCAAAATTTGTCCAAACAAGCCCAAGGGATACTCCAGGAGTGGCGACGCGTTCTTCAGCTTCTCGATCATCAAACCTAGGAGGCTACATTAAGAGTAAACAAACATCCGCATGCATGTTAAGAAAAATATATGAAATCAAATACAGTAACCATTAACCTACGCAAGTCCTTGGATCATATCATACATGAAGTGCTTGTGCTTGAAGCAGCAGGAAAGGGGAACTCAAAACCAAAATCTTTTAGTCAGGTCCCTTTTCGTTTTCGAAAGAACCTCATTAATATGAAACCGAATGAGGAACACCAATTGCGAAGATTTACAAAAGTGAATTATAAGGCTTGTCCAAAACAAAGTTATCCTGATAAAAGAGTCAAATGAGGAATTCTTACACCCAATATTTTTTCCAGCATGGCCTCATCAACAACATAAGGTGAGTCAATTCTGAAAGCATCCGATATCTCATGATTATTTATACCCATCGGAATGACTTCCATTTCCATTTCAGCTCCCGCAGTAAGCCTGTTTTCCAGCAGTGGAGAAGTTAGCCTATGAACATCTTTGCTAACCGAAACAGCCTGTTCTTGCTCTGCAACTCTCACTGCAGCAGCACGAGCCAAGGCAGCCAACTTCCTTTCCAGATTACGAACACCAGCTTCCCTGGTGTACCTCTGAATGGAAAGTTTAACCACATCCTATACCACCCAGAAAAAAAGGCATTAAGAGAAGATTACCTAATATTAGGTCTTGGATTGCACAGATAAAAATATAAGTGCATTACACCGAAAAATTTTATGCTTATATTCTGATCAAATTTTCTTCTTTTATCTTACATCTTACCGTGATATTTCAATCTAAATTCTAAACAGAAGAGTTCAAGAAATGAAAGTAGCTTCTTTTTGTTATATGTTGAAAACGAGAGATCATCCATGGAGGTAAAGAAAAGGAAACAGTCCTGTATTTTTTTTATTCAACCATAGAGGTGATAGGGATGCAAAAAGACCGGTTGACAACTTTCTCAAAGCATCTCAGAAATCAGGGAGTAACAGCTGTTAACCCAATATTATCAAGTAAGGAAAAATAAGCTTCAAAATGCGGAAAAGATGACTGTGTAATGAATACCTTTGGAATTTTTAGGAACGCAGAACTCAGTCCATGCTGATCCAAAACTCTTGGGATCAAGTATTTCATGGCTATTCTGAGCTTTTCTTCAGCTGTGTATCCAGGCAGCTCAATGACTTCCATCCTATCCAAGAGTGGAGGAGGAATAGGCTGCATCCTATTTGCTGTAGCCACAAAAATGACCTTTGATAGGTCAAATGGCACTCAAATAGCTATACATCGTCAGTTAAAGAACCACAAGGGATCAAATGAAACTCATTAAATTGTTAAGAGTAGGTAATGGAGGCAAATAAACATGTAAAATATTCATCAATACTAAATACAGATAAAAAAGGCTAGTTGATGAAATTGGGGCTCAGCATGTTAATCTAGACTTGAAAGAAAGTAGGA